AGGAAGTAACCGTAGCTTTTGTCTGGAACCATCTTTATTCCACAGGACCCTTTCATTGGCAGGTTGTTTTTTGCCCTCCTCTCAGCACTTTAAAGATGTCATTCCATTGCCTTCTTTTACCATTTCTATTGAGGTATTGCTAGTCCTACTGATGATACACTGAAGGTAATGTCTTTTCTCTAGCTGCTTTAAACAAATATCCCTTGATTTCCAGCATTTTTGCTATGGATACCTAGATGTAGTTTTAACACTTAGTTCTGCTTGACTGGAATTAGCTGAACTATAATCTGTGGGTTGTCTTCCATCAATTTTGGAAAATCGTCGGCAATAATCTCGTCAAAAATTGTTTCTGCTTCATTCTCTCTTCTCCAAGATTCCAAATTACATGTTAGACATTTAGAACATATCCTGCTTCACTGGTATATCTATTGATAATCTTGCCTTTCAGTTCACTAATCTTGTTTGCTGGTGCACACAATCTTGTTACCTCATCTAGGGAATTCTCTTTTTTTTTTCAGTTCTAAAATGTCCTTTTAAAACAAAAACATTCTTTGATGAAAATTTTCACTCTTTCATCTGTCAGCCCTTTCCTCCATTTTCTTTTAGATTAAATCACAATTATTTAAAAGTCATTGTCTAACTTCATAATCTAGATCACTCTGATCAACTGTACCTTTTTTCCCCGCTTGGTTATCTGTCATGATCTTGCTGCTTCACATACCTAGTAATTTTTTAATTCTATGCTGGATATTCTGTATAAAAGAACTGCAGAGCTTCCAAAACAATTCCTTCCTCCGAAGAGGGCTCCCTTTTGCTCATGCAGGCAAAGCTAAGAGCTCTGGTAAGAGCCCCACTCCTCCCTGCTCTGAGGGCACAGACCGAGAAGGCTCTCAGTGTAGAACCTGGACCTTTGTTTCCTCAGCCTTGAAAGGCCGCAAGGGTTCAGCTCTGCTTTTCAGAAATTTTCAGCTCAGCTTTCTAGCCTCACTCAGCTTCCACATTTAACAAATACCTTGATGGAGACTGGCTACTCTTTCAAGGCCTTTCAAACCTCCAATTTTGTCACTCCATCCCTATGCAACCACTAAAAGAATAGCTGGTTTCTTTTTCCCTTAACATGGTCCTCTGCCTGGGCCAAATCCAGACCCCCAGACCAAACCCAAATTCTGCAAAGGAAATCAGAGAAAAAACACTTCTGATCTTCCACTAACCTCTGAATAGTTCTCCCCTCCGCGGGATTGAGTCCATCGTAGACTGCATTTTCACACCACACTGATGCCTTTCAAGATACGGCTTTTGAAAGTTACCCTGCTTTTACGTTGTTCAAAGGTGTGTTGACCTACTGTGATCCACTACATCTCATGTGAAAACTGAACCCCTACAGTGTTTGTAAGGCAAATAGTAAAGTGGTAGAAAAATGAAAACGGCGAGTGTGGAAAATTCAGGATGTATAAAGTTGTATTAGAATACTAAAAAACATTCTGAAGTGCAAATTACTCTCATCCTCCAATTCCTTTTATTATCAGTTTCCCCTTTTTCTTTGATACAACACTTTTATTCACAAAGAGTCAGCTGCCGTAAACAGTTGAATTTTCTAGGAAGTAACATTAAAAACTTCCTTATTAATATGCCCAGATCTTAGCCATTAAAAAGCTTGTTTCTGGCTAGCTTATTACCACTTATGATTATAAAACTGCTCAGTAACTACTAAGTCTACATACTGAAATAAAGTTGAGTTTAAATTTGAATGCCAAGGTTTTTTCTATGTAATTAACCCTTATCATATGAATTTTTTCTTCCAGAAACTCCATTTTATCCTCTCCAGATAAAATATACAAGCACATTAACTGGGAATAAATCTCTTATTCTTGCACCTCAGAGATTTTTATAGTTAGATGGCTTCTGGACAGCTTGATTCTTAAAAAGTTCACACAAGTAAGTCTGATGTTTGGAAACCACTGCTATAAACAGAAAAACACTCAAAAGTCAGCACATTCTTAAAACTTCTAAGGTTATTTCTAGCTGAAGGAACTTATTTGAATCTAAGTCTAAATCTGTTAAGATTTGCCATCAATAAGCCTCAAATAGCACTTAAATATAGACTAAAAACAGCCAAAAGGATTTCAGAAGCAGAAACTGATACTTTGAAGAGACCATCCGTTAAATAACAGTCACACAACACTTCTGGATCCATTACAGACATGATTTTGATATTTTAGGGTTAGTTTTAAAATATTAATCACTTCATGATCCATGTCACAACTTATTCAAAAATTTACTGTATGTCTAACTACAGTGTGTGGAGATGCAATTACTGCCCTCAAAAATACTTTAAGTCACCTTAAAAATAGGAATAAGGGTGTGAAAGCAGTTCAGTTCTGATGTATACCAGTCTTGTCTTCCAGATGCAATGTTTTAATAATTTATTATGCTCTTTTAAAAGAACTATTACACACAACTCTCATTTATTATTTGCAACTAAAAAAGATGATTCCCTTTGGAAAAAGAGGTGGCAAGAATAGAAGCCAGTTATCATTATCCTTTGCAAAATTTTACTTTGACCTATATTATTTTCAGTTAATTTATCATAAAGTATTCTACATGCATAAAACTTACACGATTTAATTTTACTAACAACCTAAGCCAGGGATCAGCCAACTATGGTGTGTGGGCCGCATCCAGCTTGCTGTCTCTTTTCTGTCAACACAGTTTTATTGGAATGCAGTCACATTTCTTAATTTCTATATTGTTTATGGCTGTTTTTGCACAACAGCAGCAGAGTTGACTACTGCTAGAAATCATACGGCCTGCAAAGTCTAAGATATTTAAAGTTTGCTCACCTTTAATCTATACCATGAAAATAATTATTTAAGTGGATTTTAAAGCAACTTAGTCATTTTTTCATTAAAGAATTGGATAAAACAAATTTTAGTTTATACTTTAAAAGTACATTGCTGGTAATGGCTTCTCTCTATAAACCAAAAACATTCAGCAACTATAGCTTTGAGAGCCAACAAAGATGAAAAACCTGGAAATGAAATTTCCAAGTAAATCTGAAAAGTTATCTAAAAGAGCACATTCTCTCAGATAACAAGGGCTTTTTAAAATTATCTTTTTACCTACACGTTTAAAATAACTGAAGTCCTATACAAATAATGACAGTAGGGATAGCGTGCACTGCTTCTCATTTTACTTATCATTTTTAGGGTGTCTTTAAAACCTAAGTCGGCTTGAACACCTATCGAGACATTTATTTGGATAAAATGAAATACCAAGAATCTAGAGAAAAGGGAAAACTAAGAGCTCCAAATTTAAAACTCGTAAGATATTTTAAAAATTGGCCAGTACCTAAGACATATTAAATGATTAGGACAGAATATTCAGTTTAAAGTCATAAGAAAATGATCTGCTGGGTAAAGATAGAGAATTAAAACTAATTTGGGTGAATAAGTGAAGCAATAAATAGGTCAACTGCTAAACATACATCACTTATTTAATACAAAATATAAATAAATTTGAAAAAATAGGTCATAAAACTAAGAGTCTTAACTAAAAATCAGGGAAACTATCAGAATAAGAGAGCCATTGTTAAATTGCTTATAATAATTTTTACTACTTGAGGCAAATAAAATCAAATAGAAAATCTGTACTGTAGGAATAAACAAGTATTACATTGTTTCTAAACTACAAATTCCCTGACAACTACTCAGAGTCAAAGTGCATACACTGCAGGTCTTAGTACTCCTAACTATTGGCAAAAACGACTAAAGCAGAACTGGAAGCACTGTACTAATTTAAAGGTTTAAATTTTCATATATTAAACTCAGTAATAACTGAAATCTTTATCACTGATTAGCTTTTCAAAATCATCCCTACTACCTACAAAATTTCTATAAAGTTCTAATATTAAACACTTTAAGATTTCAATGATGTGAGAACTGTGGGTCCCCCTGATACATCCATCCACAAAGAGACAAAACTAATATTGTGTGTGTGGGGGGGGGGGGCAGACACGGAATCATGCTCACAGGATGATGATGAGGTTCAACCGAATAAGTGAATACTCCCAAAGTTCATTAATTAGTAGGTCTTAACTGCTTTAAAAAGATCATGGTACTTGGATCACACCAAATGATATTGGATACGAGATGATAATGCGTGTACAGTCTTCTCCACTACATACAGATGTTACCATAAGAAATCAATTTTGAAGAGTAGTTCCTTCCCTTATTAAATCTTAGGAAATTTTATTTTCAAACATTTGATAAATTGAAAAGGCTGCTGAGAACTTCAAGAGTTCAAATACAATAAAAAATTAAACATGTCCCATAAGTATTGAAACAAATCAGAAATTGTTCAGCCTAAGAATTAAGGAACTTAAAATGATTAAATTCAAGATAACACATACAAGGATTCAAGTCCAACAGACCTCACTAGATCTATAAAATCTAACAACAAAACTCATAAAATTTGGGTTAATATTCATAAACCAGGAAGAAAAAAACAAGAATATATTCTTCAATGTTAGCAGTTCTGCTATAAACTAGAATAGGGGTCAAAACATGTCCAGTGGCCCAAAAGAATAACTAGCTCAAAATTCAGATCCAGGTAACATTTGAGTCTTAGAAATCTGCAATCTTGTTTTCCTGAAAATTTTAAAATTGAGTTTTCATCTGTAAGTATACATCCATAATGAATTTTGGATTTCCTCTCACAGTACAGTAAAAGCTCAATAATACACCTCCCTAAGAAAACTTTCATCATACCGACATAAATTTAAATTATTTTTATTTTTCTATTTTAAGCAAAAAAAAATTAGCTGATTTTTATCAATGAAATGGTAAACTTAGAGGCAACTATAACTTAAAATTACACAGCTTCTTAATGGTTTATTCATAGCATTCTTTATACAGAAGCAGCTTCACTGATATTTAATTTACTGCAGCATCCTGTGGGTGAAGCACAAAATTACATTAATTATAAACAAAGAAACAAAGCACTTTTGACTTTTTAAAACTGTATATGTATATATTTATATCCAGTTGACAAATAGCATCACAATTATTACCGTATAAAAAACTAAAAATCACCATGGAAGCTAAGGCCTACGTTCTTATTCCAATTGTTCCCTTTTGTTAATATCTAAGAGATTAGAAATTAAATTCCAGTACCTCAAAAAAAGGGTCTACATTATTTACATACAACATGGAAAATAAAAGCTGCTTTTCAGCTACGTTAGATTGCTGTTACCTATAGTATTTACATTGTAAATGTTGGGGGGAAAAAAGCACTACTAACAAATACCATTTCAAATGGAAATATATTGTGCCTGGAATTTTGTTCTAAAATTAATTGTATATCCTAATAGGTATCTGCTGAATAGAATTTGACTTTGAATACATCTTCTGAAGTTCAGAACAGAGTACCACTATGCTTCTTTATATTGCTATCTAGATACTGTTAAGTACAATACTGTAATAACTACAAGCACTGAAGCTTAAATAAAACAATGGAAACATGTGTAGATGGAGTTTTATTTAAAACTGTAAAATATAATGCCTTAATGTTTACCCATAATTATGAGACTAGCTAATGTTCTTTCCATGTTTAAGAAGTCTCATATATGGTATGTCTCTAAACAGTGAAACTTTCCAGTAACTTACCAGAAAAAAAAGTTTAATTATATTATTCTGTTCTTAGAATTATTTTTCTAATATTTAAAAACATATCTATACCCTTGGCAAAAACAAACGCAATCAATTCAGTGTAAGAGACTGAGCTTTAAACCATACTTTAATTTTCAATTAACTGTAACCTACTGGTTAATTGAACCAAATGTAGAATTTTAAATGACCCACTATGAAGCCTTTCAAATCAATTATAGAATGCACACAAAAGTGAGGAGAAGTTTTGGGGAAGGTGCAAGGTAGTTAATATGGAAAATGGTAAATGCTAGCTTTAATAACAAAAATGGTACTAAATGCATATGAAAGTTAAATTAACACAGTATAAAACAGAATAGCTTAAATAAACTGGGATTCACATATTACAATAGCAAAGTTATGATCAAATGAACTGAAGACACGAACAGTTCTGAAAATTCTCTTTTCAGCCTACTTTCAAAAGAAACAGTCAGGCTTTTTTCCTGTACATAGTTTTGAGCTTTGTCTATACCATATATAGTAGAAAAATAAATTCTTTAGCAACCTAGAAACAGTTTATAAAACTCTTAAAGTTTAATTTTCTTTGCCAGACATGCCAATGTTAAACTGACAGCTATAAATTAAAGCTATATAGACAATAGGCATAAGTAATATAGAACAAGAATACTACATTTACCGGATTTTTCTTTTTAAAAATTACTGTACTTTCTTAATTCCTGTGTGCTTTGCAATAGGAATAATAGGGACTTTGTTTTCTTAGAAAAGATAATAACATGTAAGAGTATAACACAAATAAGATAATTTGTAATATACATGTACTTCAACAGCAGCCTGGTTCATGTCGACATTTTGATTCTGAAGTTAAAATTAGAAGTATAATACCTAGGACATAACAGTTGGGAAAGACAGTATTTATTTTAAGAAGAAATGGAGCAAATCAAACTCTTAGGAGCCTCAAATCTCAAAATCATCTATTTACTATAATACACATAAGACAACCTTAAAATTGCAGTATGAATGAAGATTACAACATGGACCAAAGAATTTTCTCTTTACTACACAAAACATAACCTAGCAATAAAAACAAACCATTTTTTTCCTTTCCAGAAAATAATGGCACAGTTTGATAATGAACAAAGTTTGAGTAAAGCCTAACAAAATTTACCTATGCCACCTATTTCTGAAAATTTTATCCATAATTTAGTGTTCTGGTTGTATCTTCACTAACAAAATGTTTAACCACAAAAGCAGCAGTCATTTACAGCAAATCTGGTACCAACATCAAAGGAAAAAATTGGTTTAAAAAATGATGTGAAAGCCATTTTGGATTTTAGTATAACATATTTCAGAAAAGAATATGAATACAAGTTTGCAATTTTATATATACACACTCCAAAGAGGCTGTCAGTACCCAAAGTATTTTTATTGCTACATTAGCAATGGATTTTTGGATATGTTTTTAAGGGCCACATAAAAATAGATTCAAGGAACAGATTAAATTTAAGTCCTAGATTAAAATGTTTGGTTCAAAGAATTTCCTACAACAAATTTCATGTTTATGTATGAAAAGTTATATAACCTTATATGAAAATGTCATGAAGTATTTTCTACACTATACTAAATGTATTTCCCAAGAGGGAAAAAATTAAAATATCTAAAATATATTAGATTAAGATTACAAGACCATCATTGATCTTTTGAACATGCATCTGTTTACAGAATTAACAGTATACAAGATGTTTATTTCATTATGGACCATAAAGAAATGAGTTGGTGACAACTATCCTTTGCACAACATTATCAACTCACTTTAGCCACAAGCATGTCCTTGGTATGTGTGTACAAGAAATACGTTCATTTACCCCTCATCAAATCATCCATAGGTTTACTCAGAAGTAAAGATGAAGGTGCAGAAATATGTTAAGTGTATTTTTCTTTCTTTCAAACAACATCCCAAGCATGGCATAAGTAGCCTGAAATTATAAAACACTTAACTGGGCTTTTAGTTATCTACACAGACTGCTAAAATGTAAATTAAGTTGCCCAAATTAGCACATCAAATAACAAAACCAGCCATAAAGCAGGCTGAAAAGCATTAAATGTTTCATATATGTGAGTTTTTAAATCATTAAATTTCTATAGAAAAATTTTATTCACAATATAATGTGACAGAAAATGCCACAGGAATGATATACTGATTGCAATAAGATTGCATGCAACAGCAGCTTTGTATTTTATAGCTATTTTTGCTTATAAAAATTAAACCTCTCCAGTCATGCTTATCACATGGTCTTAGATCTGTAATGTAAATGAATAAGGAATAGCATATAGTTCAATGAGAAAATGTCTCATCATTTTGAATGTGAATTATCTGCAAGAAATATGAAAGCATACTACTGAACCCTGAAACATGCATGTCTAGATTTGCTTCTTCTGTCCTATTTCAGGCTGTCTGCAATCACTTCCTACTTATATAATACCAAGAGGATCCGTCTGTAACTGCGGTTGTATCAGCTGAGGTTGCAATGGTGGTGGTAACTGAAGTGGTACCATTGGTTCCACCAACTGTCCTGGATTGGAAGGTGGCGGAGGAGCCACAGTGTTCCCAGTTTCCACAATTTCTCCATTGTAAAAGAAAAACTGACACTGCTGAATGAACGTTTCAACAACAGATTGATGGATCTTCGTGGTAGACAGAAACTCTCGATTTTCAAAATCAGGTCTCATCAAAGTTGGCCAAAAACAGATGGATAAGTTGTCTGCTGTCATGAGGTTGATTTTATTTTGCTGACTAACCCTGAAATTATATAGGAAAAAACAATTAGAAACCAATCAAAACTCATTACACTTAAAGAATTCTAGAGCTGGAAATGATCTCAGATGATTTAGTTTTACCTTCTATATTTCTTCTTTTTTTTAGGATTGGCACCTGAGCTAACTGCTGCTGCTAATCTTTTTTGTTTGTTTGTTTTATTCTTCTCCCCAAAGGCCCCCGGTACATAGTTGTAGATTCTAGTTGTGGGTGCCTCTGGTTGTACAATGTGGGGCACCGCCTCAGCATGGCCTGATGAGCGGTGCCATGTCCACACCCAGGATCTGAACTGGCGAAACCCTGGGCCACCAAAGCAGAGTGCAGGAACTTAACCACTCAGCCACAGGGCGGGCCCCTCACCTTTTATCTTAACTTCAAATGTAAAACATTTTTCTTCTTGTGCATTCTATGTTCATCTACATTCTAATAACAGGAGACAGCAGTAAAATCCATTCCTTATGAGAATCAAAGATAGTCTTTTAAAAATGTTGTACCCTCAGGTTTTATAATTTACTTATAGAGGCCTCCTTAATTTATATGAAAAAAACCTTTTTCTCAGGGTAAGAACATGTAACAAGTTTTAATGAGTTTCCAGCAACAAAATCAGAAAATTCTAATTGTATATCTCAATTCTTTGACTACTGTGAGAGATGAAAAAACAAACTACGTTATGCCATCTCTTTGAACCTTGGGAAAACTGAACTTTGTAAAAATTACTCTATCATATTCTCCAACCAGGAGACTTTTAAACTTGCAAAAAAAAAACTAGTTTCTAGTATTGTAAAAAAAAAAATCTTTTCCATCATTAAATATCTTGTATGTTGTTACAAATTTAACTTGAAAGACAACAGTCAGTTACAGAAACATATTCCACTTTAAAATTCTTATGATTTAATGATAAATAATTTACAAATGGCCATACATTATTGACTGATTTGCATCCAGTCCTTTAAATATGTGAGCACTCAAGAAATATAAGAGGTAAATCTTGAATTACAACTCAAAATTATTAAATTGGGGAAGAATCTTAGGTATTTTATCCAACCCTCTCATTTCACACATGAAGAAACAGCCCCATCAATATGTAAGGTAGCAGGAAAATCTTATACTTAAATTTCCATATCAAAAAATTTTAAATCTAAACCAAAGGAACACCTGCCAAACACAGGAGTTGCTCATCTGAGGGAAAATATGTGCCCTAAAAACATGTCTTTTGTGGTAAAAGTTGTTACTATTTGGTAAGAGGCTAAATTAGAATATTCATAATAAAATCAATCTTTTGTTAAAATACAGTGGGCTCAGTCAGTTGTTTCCATGTAGTAGGCAAGTGTAGATTCTGAAAATGCCTATAAAGCTGAAAGACACATGAGTATGGGCATCAGGTTTACTTGTTAAGCCAAAAAGTGCAAAGGCAAGGTACCAAATCAGTTAGAGATGAAGATGGCCAGGGAAGGCTTCGCTGAAGAGGAAATGTTTGAGGTGAGTTAAGGATGACAGGCACCAGTAAGAGGGTAGGAAGGAAAGGTAATTCAGTCAAAACAGTGGCTCTCAACTTCAGTGTGTATCAGAACCTCTTGGAGGGCTTGTTAAAACACAGGACGATTATATCTGAGGCGAGACCTAATAATCTGCATTCCTAACAAGTTTCCAGGTAGATGCTGATGCTGCTGATTTGAGGAGTGCATGTGAGAACTACTGAGGTAGTCACGTTAAGATGTGGTGAGGGACTAGGCACAAACTGATAGTTTTGGTTAAGTGCTATTAGTTTAATATAGCGGCACTTAACTTGGTGTGTGCACGTGAAAAAGGAAAGGCGATTTAACAGAAGTTAGAACTAGACCACTTAATGTTAAACAGTTTGAATTTTTTCTTCAGATTACATAGGGTGTTATTCAATCATTAGTGATCTTTACAAAACGATCTTTTAGAAAGATCATTCTGGCATTAGGATCAAGAAAGGATAAAGAGGAAAAATTGGCAGGGAAAGAGCTCAGTTACAAAGAAACTAGAGTTCCCTAAATGAGAAATGATAAAGTCTAAACTAAAGCAGTAGCAGACGAATAAAAGGAAAAATAATTAGGAGAAAAAATCAATTTGACACAATAACTCACCGAATATGGAGGGTGAAAGAGAATATAACCAAAAAATAACTCCATGGATTAATTTTTGCAATTTGTCAATCACCCATTATATACTTATTTATCATTTATTTCCTATGCTAGAATGTAAGTTCCATAAAATAGGTGACTGTTTTATTCACTGCTATGACTTGAGCACTTTATACGAGTACCTGGTACACAGAGTACCCATTACAGTGAGTTGAGAATTCCTCTTAAAATTTAAGTCTGATGATATTTCTCTGCTCTGCCCTCCAGTGGCTCCCCATACCACTCAGAGTAACAGATATGCAATGCTATTATCACTGAGGAAGTCTTGCTCCCCCCATAAACGTCAGTTGAACTCATAGCACTTAGTGACATACATACATGAAGTAACCTCCTTACCTTGTCAGTAAAACATTTTGAGGACTAAAGCTAGTCACCAGACTACTCTCGAGTAGTACCGACCTATACGATCTGGCACTGTCCCTCTTCCCTTTTGACCTTATCTCTTACTCTGTCCATCCTTCACACTCTGCTCGAATCACACAGGCCTCTTTGCTGTTACTCAACAGATCAAATATGCTTTTGCCTGTGTTGTTTTATCACTGTGAATCTTCGAACATGCTCTTCCTTTGTCCCTTTTCCTTATTCTTTTTAATGGAGTACAATTCTTACTTCAGCACTTTAAATCCCTACACTCCACATTGGGTAAGGTCTCCTATAGTACCCTGTGCACATCTGTCTTCATACCATGAACCACTTGTACGGTAATTTTCAAGAAGAAATTCCATTAAGTTTACTGCAATACTGTGCATGCTGATATTTTCTCAGGGAGACTTCGAGAAGGGTTACTAGAAACGCTAAAATAATTTTATACTACATTGATAACAACAATCTAACTTAAAATGTTGGTTAATATTCTCTTTTAAGAGGTACAGACTGAAATGTACTTGGTTTGCACATTGACATTATTAGTTGAAAGAACTTTATAGTTCATTAGTATGTCAGTAGAAAATATCAAGAGTAGACTTTTGAAAAAATTAGTACAAATACTAACAATTCCACTCGGTCCCAAGAACAACTTTGTGAGGTGTTATTCTCATTTTTATAGTTGAGGAAATTAAAACTTAGTAAGTAATTTGCCCAAGGTCATAGAACTAAAAATGTTTCAAAACCAAGCCTGTCTGACTCTATAGTTTAAGCTATTATACAATACTGCCTCTTTCACTTAACGAATGGCGTTGGGAGGAGTACGTTTTGAGAAAGAAGCATAAACCTGAAACTCAACATATTTAGGGCTACTAATACAGGAGTAATGCCCTGTATTTCAGGTAACAGAATGGATAATAACATGAATTCAAGTTTCTGATAAAATTTCGCTGTGTGGAATATCCAAACAAAACCAGCAAGATACACAAAAGCAACACAATGTGATAAAAAAAGCAAACAGAACCTCTTAATAAGACTTGGATTCTACTCATAAGATGTGTCACTTATTAATTATGTGACACTGGGCATATAATTTCCCTCTTTAAAACTCAATTTTTCCAACTTCCAATAGGTTGATTTGGTTACTTAGCTAAGTGTCACTTCATATCTAAAATTCTAAGATCCTAGAAAAGAGAACTGCTAAAGATTAACAATATAAAAAAGAAAACATACTTACCATGCTTACTATTTATATAATCATTACGTGTACTAAAAGAGTCACATATCTTTCTTTAAACAAGTTGACAAAAAATCTATTTTAAAAATCCAGAAATAATTTAGTGAACAAAAATTGAACCGCATGTTTAAATTACTTTGTGTCCCCTTTTTATCTTATAATTATCCAATTTATAAAGCTACAAGCTTGAAATCTGTAGTGCACTTTATTTGCAAAAACAATAAAAATACCTGTTTAGATGCGTTATTATATATCTGAATACATCATAGTTTACAGGATGAAATTTCTTAACAATTTCTTTCAACGCGTGAAGACGTTCTGTTTTATCCGGGATTTCTGTAAAATTAAAGTAGTAAAGAATTTATGTGAAACTCATACATTTAAAAATATTTAATAAAGTTTCTTGCTATACAAGAACGTGTTTGAAGTATATTACGATAGGTAAACAAAAACAAAGAAAATGTTCTAAAGAACCTGCTAAATACATTATCAGCTACTACAATAGCCTTTTTGCAAGTAAATCTAATAACTGAAGATCAAACTGACTCAGAGATGGTAAGTGGGAAATGGTATATCAGCAATTTACTCAAGCAATTTATATAACTATATATTGATTTAGAATTACTTATAAATCTATTAGGCTCTTAACATTCACACAATAGAGTAAATATTTTAGGCTTTGTGGGTACAACTATTCAACCCTGCAGTTGTAGCACAAAAGCAACCACAGATAATACATAACAAATGAGTATGGCTGTGTTGCAATAAAACTTTTGAAATCTGAATTTCATATAAATTTAAAATATCATGAAATTTTCTTTTAATTTTGTTCAACTATTTAAAAATGTAAAACCATTCTGAGTTTGCAAGTCTTCCAAAAGCTGGTGGCAGGCTGAGTCAGGCCCGTAGGCCAGTTTGCCAACACCTGATTTAAAGTATCACCCTATATTTATTTATAATCTACTCTGCTTATCAAAAACCTTTCTTCACAATCAGCAGAAGCATTTAACTCACTATCCAAATTTATGCAAATTATGAAACAGGATAACTGAAATGTGGTTCTGCTGTAAATGGGAGATAAGAAAGTGCTTTATTGCCCTTCATCATTCATTTCATTTTTCCCAAAGGCAACAATGAGTCCCTCTGAAGGAGGCCATCTGCATGCCAATTTATGGTATATATCAACTTATGGTAGTGTAACCAAGTATTAACAAATTCTCATTTGCCATGTATTACTTATAAATCAGTCCTCAAAAATGTAGGAAACTTCTGAGGATATTGTTTATGGTCAAGAAGTAAGAAAATCTAAACTATCAACTGAATCATTTTCCCAGTTTACATATGAGAGTACATATAAGGTAACTATACCTGTGACAACCCAGTGAGGTGGTTTTTAATGAAAAGAAAATTAACTAAGAACTTTAACATAATCAAAATTATAAGCAGCCTCACTTTAAAAAGCCTGAAGACTTGTAATCAAAGGAAACATTAAAGAGAACTATTTAGAAACAACATTCATTTTAGCCATTGAGAACACAAGGCAGATGAAGCAGTAGTTACCCAATACTCGAAATAGACCTTCTGTCTCATTTTTCAGACAACAAATGAGTATTTGTTTAACAGAAACATCTAGATGAGTGATACCAAATCGGGAGTAAACACTAAGTACCCATTTTCCTGCCTTACTTTTTCAAAATATGACTTAGGAGGACAAAGTTAATTTGACTCGAAAAATTTTAAATACACATGTTTACACATCACAGACAGGTTAATATTTTACAAAGCACATTGTAGATACATTTATTTGAAGAGTTTAATTTCCTTACAATGTCTTTGAGTTTGAATTAAAACACAAATCTCAAACTTCTGCTATAATGATCTTCAAACATCTAGGAGCACTGAGTCACCAGGGAGGCTAACTAAATCCAAATATTCCTGGGAGCCACCCCTAGGGATTCCGATTTTATTTATTTAGAGGAAAATACCTTTAAGGAACAGTTCTAGTACGCTGAATTTTTATTAGCTACACATTCCAGTGGATGACTGATTTTAACACATAGCAATCAATATACAAAACTCTCTATTGTTATCCCTGTCAAAAAAAGCAGGCTAATACTTACTTGCTGCTTCCAACAGCTCTGGATGAAGAGAATATGGAATTAAAGGGTCTGGAAGATCTGCAAAGAAAGCTTTAAGGGCTCCAGCCACAGCATTTACTGTTACTTCCATTGATACTAGACTGATGTTATGATCTAAAGACAAAAGTGATAATTTCAATTTGTAATTTTTATAATAAAATTTTAATTTATTATAGAAGTAAGCTAAACAGGTACTTACAGATCCAAAGATATTTAAGGTTCTCGTCAGCCACCTTTCTTTACAGGCTGATTCATCCTTCCTCCATTGTTTGCCTGACATACTATATGGATAAGGCAAACTATAGGTTTGCCTGACAAACTATATAGATAAAGGAAGAGAAAACCAAGCAACAAGCATTTTCTGTTTTAATAAAAAATGCTATTAGGCTTATTAGTATATTGAAGAACATTAACTTTTACTAATATCTATCTATCTTTATTTTTTTGGTGAGGAAGATTTGCTCTGAGCTAACATCTGTGCCAGTCTTCCTCTATTTTGTATGTGGGTTGCTGCCACAGCATGACTTGACGAGTAGTACAGGTCTGTGCCCAGGATCAGAACCCGTGAACCCAGGCCACCAAAGTGGAGTGCACCGTACTTAACCACTTAGCCACGGGGCCAGCCACTATCTTCTAAAATATTTTGTTTACATAAGCTATTTAAAAGAGGACATAAGGAAAGAGAAAGACAGAAGATAGAAATTATGCATATAAATTAGAGTTTTTTTCTATCTTTTATCCACTGTCTCATCCAGAATTTTTACATTTCTAGATAGTCCAGTTTATCACTGTGTTCATGCTTTCTAGGTTTCATATCAAGTTTAGGCCTTTCCCTATCATGAGATTATAAAAATATTCACTCGTTTTTCTCCCTAGTACTTACAAGTTTTCATTTTTTACTTTTAAACCTTTGATATCATATAGAATTTACTTTAATATGAGTAGGGAATTCAGCTTTGTTTTTACTCCTAATAGTTAGTTAGCCCAACATCAGGAAAAAAACAAAAACAAAAAACTTTTAAATTACATCTTTAAATAAGTGCTATCTCTGATATACAAAGATGCTTTCACATCATAAATCAATTTATTGCTTTTCCAATTCTGGCAATGGATTTATAGGTCTCCTGTTTCTTGACTGTAGTAGCTATTCTATTAAATACCTCTAATCTCACTTCAAAACTCTCTCCCCTGAAGATCCATATCTTTAGGAGGTTTTCATAAGAAAATCAACCTTCCCACCACGAAATTTCAGTAAGGAAAATAATAATTTTATTTTATATAATTATCGTCTTACCTTGATCAAACTGTTTTTGAATATTGTCTTGATCAGTTTTGTTCCCACTAACACGGTAGAGTCCTTCAGTACATAATCCTAAAAGAAGAAATATACATATACATCTACAACAAAAAATATACTTAACCTTATGTACATCTTACTGACATAAAAATACAGTGGTAAAGTATTTTTAAGAATTAAACATTTTTGAGCATTTCATTTTAATTAAGTTCTTAATGGACTACTTTTTATTTTAAACCACTTAGGACATGGAGTTCCATACAAAGTGAGAACAGACGTTTCTCTGTATTTCTTCCACTAAATACAGCTAAAATTACTGAATACAATACAAAAAACAAACATCAAAAGACTCTGAATGGTGGAGAGAAAAGGTGGACTGGCCAGCAACCTTGGAACCTGAAAACAACATGACAGTGAGTTCCCTGGGTTTTCTTTTTGCCTCTTACATACTCGGGACCAAGGAACACAGAAGCCTACAACCCAGAAATACCAATGAGCACAGGGAAAAAGTAAAAACACAAAGAAAACCAACAACAAGAAAAACCTGCTCTCTCTAGTGAAAGGATTGAGAAAGCCTAACAAGCAAAACGAAACATTTTTTACTACAACTGCTCTACTCTGGCCAAACACCATGGAACGGACTCCTCTTCACACACATCACTAGTGACCAAGTGGGGAGACTAGAATACCACCTCTGCCCAGCAGTAACAAAGGTGCCCCTTCTACTCCCTGAGTGGAGAAGCCTGAACTTCTGAGGTAAGAGGGACCCTCTCCTCCCCTCCACACCATGGTTCTGTCAGCAGAAGCCTGTGGACACCAAGCGGGGACTCTGGACTTCCACCACAACCTTGCTGCAATGAGGCAGCCCTCCTCCCCTGCTGGTGTAGTGGCAGAGAAGGCCTGAGGAAATAGAAGATTTAAATAAGATCCAAAGTCTAACAGCATACTATCCAAAATGTCTAGGATACAATAATAATAAAACTAAAATCATTCATCATACCAAGAATCAAGAAAATCACAACTTGAAGGAGAAAAGGACAATTAACAGACACCAACACAAAGATGTAAGTTGAGGGATTATCTGACAAGGATTTTAAAGCAGCTGTCATAAAATACTTCAGTGAGTAATTATAAACACACTTGAAACAAATGAAAAATAGAAAGTGTCAGCAAGGAAACAGAAATATAAGGAAGAATTCATTGGAAACTTTAGAACTAAGAAATACAGTAACAGAATCAAAAAAATTCACTAAATGGGCTAAGTAGCAGAATGTGGATGACAGGGTGAACGAACTTGAAGATACATCAATAGAAATTACCCAATCTAAACAACATAAAGAAATTAGACTGAAAAAAAAGAAAAATGAGGGCTGGTCTCATAGCCTCGTGGTGCAGTTTGGTGTCCTCTGCTTCAGTGGCCCAGGTTTGGTTCCTGGGCACAGACCTACACACTAGTCAGTGGCCATGCTGAGGTGGTGTCCCACATGCAAAATAGTGGAAGATTGGAAAGATGTTACCTTAGGGCAAATCTGCTTCAAGCAAAAGGAGGAAGACTGGCAAGAGATGGTGCTCAGGGCGAATCTTCCTCAGCAAAAATAAATAAATAAAAATTTTAAAAGGTGCTGGTTCAAGATGGCGGAATAGGCGGACTCTGAACTCACCTCCTCCCGTGGACACAACAAATTTACAACTACTCTTGGAATAACCATACCTGAGAGAAAACTGAAAACACGATAATAAGAACCCCCGCAACAAGGGACACTTCTGGCTGAGGTGGAAGAGGCAGAAATTCCTTGTAGGAAAGAAAGCAAGCCACCTTCGCAAGACAGGTACTACGGCTGGCCAGGAACAATCCTAAGGTACACAGCCTTCCTGGAGGAGTAGCGGATCTGAAAAGGGGAGCATTACTGCTATAAGCATCTACTGGACTCAGCACAACTGAGATGAGTGTCATAATATCTGGCTTTGCTGGATACTAACAATGGGAAACACCCCTAGCAAAGCTATCGGACATAAGGGGGAAAATAAAAGCCGGCTCTTAGACGGCCCATGCACAAATTCACCCATTTCAGAAAGCAACCTAAAATCACCAGAAAGGGGCACAGTCTTTTGCTGAAAAGAGACTCATCTGATAGGCTCTGGGTGCACCTTAGTGAGAGGTGAGACCTCTCCAGGGACTGATTCATTGTCAGCAGCCATTATTGTCACCAGCACAGGCATGCTGACTCAGAACACTGGCATACGCCATTGGAGTGCTTACATTGCTCTGTTAGCCCAGGGTCTGCCCCACCCACTAGAGCACCAATTTAATCCAGCTCAGCCAGGGCAGGCAGGTACCCTAGGGACTAGGCCCACCCAACAGAAAGCCCTTGGGCACCTCATGGGCCTGCATAGGCTGGGTGCCTGGATCCTGTGCAGCCAGGCAAGTGGGTCCATCTCAGAGGTGCAGGGAAGGCACAAGGAGCAGGTGGAGTGTACAGGGCCTCTACAGTGGGAGAGGTGGGTCTGCTTAAGGGAGTCAGGGCATGTGCATGGGGCAGGACTATGCTGACAGTGTGTATGGCCCTCTAGATGGTGGGCTTGTCAGCTGCACAAGACTTGTGCTTCTCAGACAGCCAAATGGGGGATTGGCCCCACCTTACTCAGCTGCAATCCTGAGAGAGCTGAGAACAGCTTTTCAGGCCAGAGGCCTACTGCAATTGTAAGCCCCTCAGCCTAGTAACCAGTCACGCTGGGGGCCTACTCACTTAACAGAAACACTGCAACAGGAATGTGCTATTAGACCTTGCAGCCAACTGTGCTGGGGCTCCCCATGCCTGATAAAGTAACTGAAGGGTCCACAGCAGCCCCACGCAGCTGAGCATTACGACCAGCTGGCCAGGGGGACAGCCTAGCCTCCCTGAGCACAGAGAGCAAGAGCAACTCTGCCACAATAGAAGGACACACGTAGCCCACACAGGGGACACTCCTGGAACATCTGAAACTGGTGATGAGAGGGAAGCACTCTGTTGGGCCTCATAAGGCACCTCTTACATAAGGCCACCTTGCCAAGATTGGAAGACACAAGTGAGCTACCTAATACATAGATGTAAGCACGGAGAAAAAGGCAAAATGAGGAGGCAAAGGAATATGTTCCAAGTAGGGGAACAGGATAAAACCCCAGAAAAAGAACTAAATGAAACAGAAACAATCTACCTGACAAAGAATTCAAACAAGAAGTCATAAGGATGCTCACTGATCTTGGGAGAAGAATGGATGAACTCAGTGAGAACATTAACAAAGAATTGGAAAATATAAGAAAGAACCAATCAGAAACGAAGAACACAATACTGGAAATGAAAAACTCACTAAAGGGACTGAATAGCAGAGTAGATGATACAGAAGAACGTTCAGCAAGTTGGAAGAAAGACTAGAGGAAACCACCCAACCTGAACAGATAAAAGAAAAACGAACTCAAAAGAACAAGAACAGTCTAAGGGACCTCTGGGACAACATCAAGCACACTAACATTCGTATTATAGGTGTCCCAGGAGGAGAAGAGAGAGACAAAGGGGCAGAGAATCTATTTGAAGAAATAATAGCTGAAAACTTTCCTAACCTAAGGAAGGAAACAGACATCCAGGTACAGGAAGCACAGAGAGCACCAAACAAGATAAACCCAAAAAGGCCCAGACCAAGACACATTATAATTAAAACGTCAAGAACTAAGGATAAAGAGAGAATCCTAAAAGCAGTAAGAAAAAGGCAACAAGTTACATACAAAGGAAACCCCATTAAGACTATCAGCTGCCATCTCAGCAGAAACCTTACAGGCTAGAAGGGAGTGGCACAATATATTTAAAGTGCTAAAAAGAAAAACCTACAGCTAAGAATACTCTAGCTGGCAAGCTCAACATTCAGAATGGAAGGAGAGAGAAAGTTTCCCAGATAAGCAAAAACTAAAGGAGTTTATCACCAAGAAACCAGTCTTAGAAGAAATGCTAAAGGGACTTTTTTAAGTGGAACAGAGAAGACCACAAATAGGAATAAGAAAATTATCAAAAAAAAAAAAAAGAGCAATAAAATCACTGGTAAAGGCAGTAATACAATAAAGGTAGCAGAACAACCACCTATGAAGGTCAAAAGATAAAAGTACTAAAATTACCTATTTCTCTGATAAGAGGATAACAGATACACACACACACAAAAGAGGTTAGACATGATATCAAAAAACATAAAATGCAGGAGGAGGGGAGTAAAAGAGTAGAGCTTTTAGAAAGAGGTCAAACTAAAGAGACCATCAACTTAAGGTAGATTGCTATATACATAGGTTATTATATATGCACCTCATGGTAATCAAAAGCCAGAAACCTATTATAAATACTTAAGAAATTAAGAGACAGGAACCGAGACATAATACTAAAGAAAGCCATCAAACCACAAGGGAAAAGAACTGAAGAAAAGAAGAAGAGAAAACAGAGAACTACTAAAACACTCAGAAAAAAAAGTAACAAAATGGCAATAAGTACATACGTATCAATAGCTACTTTATGCTCCAAACAAAAGGGCTATTAGGGTGGCTAACTGGATAAAGAAACAAGACCCATATATATATATATATATATATACTTCAGACCTAAAGATGCTCGCAAACTGAAAATGAAGGGATGGAAAAAGAGACTCCATGCAAACAGCAATGGAAAGAAAGCTGGGGTAGCAATACTTAGACAAAATAGACTTTAAAACTAAAACTGTAACAAGAGACAAAGAAGGACACTACATTATGATAAAGGGAACAATCCAACACAAGGATATAACACTTGTAAATATCTACGCACCCAACATATGAACACCTAAATATATATATGAAGCAACTATTAACAGATATAAAAGGAGAAATAGACAGTAACACAATAAGAGCAGGGGACTAACTCTCCACTTACACCAATGGATACATCATCCAAACAGAAGATCAGTAAGGAAACACTGGCCTTAGACAACACATTAGAACAGGTGGACTTAGTAGATATATACAGAACATTCCATCCAAAAATCGCAGAATACAAGTTCTTTTCAAATGCACACGGAACATTCTC